GGTTTAAACTATAGCGGAATTCGGAGGAGGATATCTACTCCCCGTTGTATCTGTAGACTTGATTAATAATCAACGGTCACTTGAATAACGTTTTAATAATACGTTCAACGAAATATTGAAATATGAAATTTAAAAAATTCAAAATAAAAAGTATGAGCTTGTAAATTTTCCGAAAGAAAAACATATGAGTGCACTTACACTAAGTTGTGAATAATATAATATAGTAAAACATTTTTTTAAAAGTTATTTGTCGTTGCACATTTAAGGCATGCTCGTAGCTTTACGGGACAAACGTATCAAACGAAACTCTATGGCAGAAAGTTTGAAAACAAATCACGTTTTACAACTGTTTCGAACGGATTATATAGAATAAACCAAGAATAAGGATTTAATTTATATTTATTTTTCAATCGATAAACATACAGGACCGTGAAGTTAGGATTACAATGTTAGCAGAACTAACCGCACAACGTGAATAAGAATTTGAACTCGAAAGTCCAAGATGAGGGGGGGCTGGGGACAAACAGCTTATAGATTTCTAATTATAACTCTTCAAAAACCTTCCAACAATATTCAAATAGACTTGTTGAACATTGTTGGACATTTGTAGGAATTTTTCAGACTACTCATAATTTTTTATTTAAAAAAAGAAAATGGCTAAAAGACTGGCTAAAAAATGAAAAACTACTTATTTTAAATAAAAAATAATGTGTGGTCCAACAAATTCGAACAAATGCCCAACAGTATCCAACAAGTCTATTTGAAAATTGTTGGAAGGTTTTTGAAAAGTTAAATTAAAAATGTATTGCTAGGTGTGAAATTGACAGTACTAAATTTATCGTGAGGCAATTAAAAATTGGGTATCTAACTAATTTCAACAAGTCTTTTCGTAAATTATTGGGAGGTTTTTAAAAAGTTTTGCTAACATTGTAATGCTAACTTCACGGTCTTCAAACTTTCGTCAACAACTTCAACAATACTATTTTAACGATGAAGTTCCTTCACCCGCTCTATGTCTTGGACGAACATCATCGCCCAATCGGCTAATTTCAATTTTTCGACGGCCATAAATGTTTGGATGTCGTCGAATCGATTTTGACATGATTGCAAAAACGACTGAAAATAAAAATAATCACGTATCAACAAACATAATTAATGGGAACTATTCGTTGTACCTACACGTAATTCATATCGACAAGGTGCTATAGAACACAATGCAGTGATGTATTATAATGTTATTATAACATCACAATTGCATCACCGCAGTAATAACGCGGTTGTAGACCGCAACGACGTTAAAATCCGAAGTAAATTCACACGGTGCATGGGAAAAACGACGAGAACACAAAAGCGCGATTTCGAGTTTAAAAATCGATAGAGTCAAAAACCCGATTTTAGGTAACGCGTTTCGGTTTTCAAACGCATTACTTTGTTTTCACGAGACCATTAATTTTCATTAACCGCATGTGTTTTTCAGACCGCTCTCAATACACTTATAGGCGTTGTCGGTGCGCAAATAGCACACTCGTAGCGACGTAGTCCAACATGAATATGGGTGTAATTTATGTTTATCTTTACTGATTCGACGTTCGTACACATCGCGTTGCTGAATGTATATGAAAAAACGCGAAACGAAATGCGATGGAAAACGGTCGAGTAAGAGCGGTAAAAGTGGTCGTAAACGTCCAAATTACCGACGAGGACGATCAAGTGTTATGTGAAAAATGTGCAACCGTATTATAACGCGTCCCGACGCGAAATATAATAATAAACATACTATCAAACGATCTGGCCCCGAGTTCGTTGACCGAAATGGGTTACGTGCGCGCACGTGTGCATTCGTATTATTAATTGCGCGCAGCGTATAATACGCGCAAATTATCGAAGACAAACAATAATGACCACTGCCGACCGATGGCGTATGGTAAATACTAATTTCGCGTGATGATTGTTATTATCGTTTATGCAGCCCCTAAACATTGGAACGATGCTGCCGCGACCATTATCAACGCCCTCGCAGAAATCTATCACGGTGAACTGTGCAACGTCGTGTGCGTACAAGATGAGCCTGGAACGTGATATCCTGATTTACCGATTCAAGCGCGGAACAACACGTGCTACCAGGGGCGTATATACGAGAAGAAGGAGGTTGGGGGGGCTGGACTGGGCTGGGCTGGGCTCCCCAACCCCCGAGATTTCGGAAGACAATTTTTAAGCCTGTTTTAACCTTATGAAACGTAAAGTGTAGGATCTCGTATTATCATTCTTTTATGAATTATAAGTTTCAAATTGTTCATGTTCAGTATTATGCTTATTGATTTTCTATTGATATGTAGGTATTTTATTTTATTAAGTTCGTAAAAAAAAAAAAACAGCTATGGTTATACAATAGAAATTATAATTGTTTACTAAAATTCTAATTTTCATTTTTAATTGGTTGACATTTTGTCCGGAGGAAATTCTTGAATCCCCCGAATAATCTTAATATGCCCTAGTGCTCACCCTGTACACGAATGTTGTGTTTCGTCTTGCACTTTCACGAATTTTCATCGTCCGTTACACACACAAACATACATTGCAAAACGCTAACTTGGAAATTTATTACTTATGCCGATACTCACAACAGGCGCAGTACTGCGCAAGTATTGCCATCCAACGGTTGGCTAGCCCGTACGGGCATAGTACTGCATTAGTACTGGAAAACTAGTACTGGCTGCCAGGGTTGGCTCAATACTGGCTCTATATGTGCCTCGTAAGAATTGTGAGCAAAGGCCAGCAAATAACTCTTGTAGTTCTGCCAAGGTTGGCGGAATACAGACATAATAATTAAATACGTAATAGTTATTACGGCCGTAATAATTACGGGTCCCATATAGCCGTATAGGTGTAACTAGGGAGGGACTAGGAGCTAAGGGGGGCTTAGCCCCCCAAATATTATTTTAGCCCCTTTGTTAGAAATTTAAGATCCCCTGTGACAGTAGTTTAAGTCTTCAAATCAATATTAGAAATATTGTAAAAAAAATATGTAATTTGAATGTTAACATCTAGATAAAAAGAAATTGCAATCTACACTGGGATTAAACAATTTTCATAATATCATGCATTGATATTAAACTAAAATATGTTTAACACGTGCAATGCCGCGGTCCGTTCGTAGTGCTGATATCGTGTAGCCGTAACGAAGAACGATAATAGAATATCACAACAATATAGGGTTTTTCCTATGTATACTATCCGCCGGCAACAAAGTTCACGCGATCATATCCCTGCGCCACACCGCCACACCACCAATACATTAAACGCCATAGATGTCTTTATCGTCAAATGAAATATCATATCAAATATCAATCGTCTTTGTATTTTCGTATTTTCTTCCGTGGTGTACTGTGTTCGTGCTCGAGTTTTTTTCATTAATTCTTTTTTCTTTTTTCGCGTGTATATTTTTAATATTTTATACAGCGCAGTGATTAGTGAGCGTTTGACATTTATATTTTGTATTTTGTACAACTCAACCCTCAAGTTCTCAAGATCTCCGAAGTCTTAAGATTTTCAGAAGTTAAAGGTATCTATACATTCAAATCAACTATTAATTTATTGTAAGTACCTATATGTAGTAGTAAACGATAATAACACGTCATCATCATCAACATATCACGTCCGTTTGCCAAAACAAAATAAAAAAGTCAAGCTTACTCAAAATGCACATCAAATGAATGATATTAATTTTTACTTTAGATGTTATTACTACCAAGTTTCCAGATACTAACCAAAAAGAAATATGCAGCACACTTAGTCGTTGGTTTTCTGGTGCTAAAGATAGGGAAAGAGGAAAAAAGAAAGGAGTCTTAAGAAACTAAATTATGGAACAGAGGGAATTAATAATTAAATTTATAATTATTAAATTCCAAAATGATGGACATTTTAAATCTGATTAAGGAATGCAATTTTTTCCTAATTTCATATATTTATTTTAATTTGTTAAATAGAAAAATTGATCATATTTTAATTATGTTATACCTTCAAATTAATTAATTAAAAAATAAACTACATTTTACTTTTTAATATTATTTCTTAATATGTATTCTTAATTCTTAATCCGTATTTTTTCACTTCAACTTCCCTCTTTTCCATAATTTAGTTTCTTAAGACGCCTTTATTTTTTTGATGTGGAAAAAATTGCATTCCTTAATTAGGTTTAAAATGTCCATCATTTTGGAATTTAATAATTATAAATTTAATTATTAATAATGTTTTGGGGTATAAGTGGTATATACTTCCATGTTAAAATATGTTTTATTATTCTTTTAAATAGATATAAGCGTATTTTGTTATATACGATTTACACAAATGCATTTGTGAAAATTTCAAACTAAGTTTATCAACTATTAATGTTTTTGAGTTTATGCTAAGTACTGCAGAATATAATATATTGTATAATTTTTTTCTCATTCTGAAAATTAACTTAAATTTTTTAAGATATTTATGTATTTATTTATACTTTATGATATACCTAATATGTTTAACAATTTAAGCAATATTAATTAGAAGCATTTTAATTTTCTAACAGAACTGGCCTTTCAAATATTGAGTAGTAATGCCTTCACATTTTTACAACTGGCATTTTACTGGCCGTCAGTAATAGTGACAGTATTGGGATATGTCTGGGATGTTAACACTTTTATGTACTGTTTATCCACTACTAGTTAACTGATAATCAGTGCTGGCACACAATAAAGGCGAAGTACTGTCTCAAGGTGATAGTCGGTACCGACTATTGGTACTGGGCCAGTAGTGGATAATTAGTACAGAAAAGCGTTATCATCCCAGATATATGCCAGTACAGTTCCATTACTGACTGCCAGTAAAGCACCAGTATCAGTCAGTACTGGCGCAGTATTGTGCCTGTTGTTAATTTCCACTTGGGGTGTGACAATTTTTTTTTTTTTTTTTGTCAGCATTAGTGTTATTAGTGTTGTATTACTGGAATATATTTCACTCACGTGAAGGTTGTCGGCCCACAACCGCTGGTTGTCCGACCAGAAGACGATTCCGGCTCCGGTCTCCGACGTGTACCGTTTAACGTTTTTCACGGCTTTCTCGACGGCGCGCTCCTCGGTGATTCGGTCGACTAGAGATTTCGGGATCGCTTCGTACTCGTTACCTGCGGACGTGCGGAAACGATCACGTTGCGATTGTCGTTTCGGGTGAACGTTACGGTCGCGTAACGCGGACAAGTGTAGTGGCAAAGAAGCGTAAGCCGATGGAGGATTTAACCGATCACGTCTCATACGGTTGCCGAAACGTTTCGATCACGAGCGGACACGTTTCCGAATATTTCTACGGTGCACTTACCGACCGACAAAACGGGCAAATTCGTGTTTACGTTGTCCAGCTGGATCCGGAGACCGGAATGGCATTTCACGGACATGGTGGTCGCTTTCATTACGTCTTCGGGGCGCCCGCTCTCGTAGTTTTTGGCGAGTTTCTCGACGCGGATCTGCACGCGTGCGAATGGAACCGGAACGATACCGGACGGTTCGTGGGGACGAAAAGAAAACGGAAAGGTTAAAAAAAAACGTAAAATCCCGTAGCCGAAGAACCCGGTCTTACTTTTGCGCGGGCGCAGACGTCCTGCAACGTGTCCTCGCACTCGGAGCGCACCGAACGGAATTCGTACAATAACGCTTCCAACTTGGCCGCGTTGTCCGGATGTCCGTGCGACGGTTTCAGCTTATCGCGCAGCCGGTCGCGGATCGCCTTCAATCGCTGCCGCGTGGACTGGGATTCGTCGTCAAACGAGCTGCACTCCTGCGTCAACCCTGTCAGCCACTCCTGGTGATACGTAGACAACACGTCGTTTTTGAACTTCCGTTCGGCCACGTGCAGACCGTCCCGCAGGAAATCGCAGAATTCTGCGTCGAAAACAATCGACGTTACAACGCATTTTCGCGGTACTATCACCGCTTTCGATTTGCGAATTCGGTGCGAATGTACCGGTACCGCTTAGGGGTTATCGGTCCTCTCACTCCCCCCTCACTCCATATTTTCGTTGTACGCAGGTATAAGTTACTTTAATGACGAGGGAGTTAATGGGCATCGTTACGATGTTTTTAAGTTCGTTTACCGTTTCGATTGATATTTTTTTTAGTAAAATTCTTCTATTTAATTGGTGTTATATTACGATTTTTGTTATAATTTTCTCTATGTCCTCTGCACACGCTGTGCATATTTAATTGTTATTTTATCTGTTATCCGTATTTTCAAACATGTATTATTTTTTATTGTACATCTGTGTAATTGTCGAACTTATTGTTCAAAAGCAAAATTTCTGAATACCTGCCGTTAACATACGTAAAAATACTACTTGTAGATAACATTTGGTATAACTTTGGGAGTACCTCGATTTCCACACGTTTTTGCTGTACCAATAATGACAGTAACAATTATCATTGATAATTTGATACCCGGGAATCGTATACGTCAGAGGCGGCCAAACTTTTTTCGGCCAAGATCTACTAAAAATATATTTCATCTTTGAAGGTCGACTTCCTTGAAAAAATTTTTTATAAACTAGAATAAAAGATAAAAACTATACAGATAAAACCTATGGACAATTTGTTCATAATCACCACGATTAATTTTCGTGCTCATGGCCTAAAAATAAAATCTAACATGATCGACTCTGAAGTCGTCCGCGATCGACCGTTTGGCCGCCCCTGGTATACGTGATATGGAAGGAATCGGCTGTACACTCGACTGCACAAATCTTACGATCGATAATGATAAGAGCACCGCCGACCTGATAGTTTGGAAATCCATATCGACTCGGCTTGTGAAACGGTCGCCCGGATTTTTCCCAACGTTTCTACCATTATCTCGCGGTAGACCTGCGCGATGTCCGATTGTTCCGTGAGCCAAACGTTGTTCGATTCGATCAGCGCCATGTCCTGCGCATTACGTTTAATTGTTGCACACACGGTGTAGCAAATCGAACGACGACGTGGACATCGTGAAATAAAACCGTATATTATTGCACGCTCGTGAAAACGTGTTGTTATCCTGCCGCTTACCGCTGCGTTGTTTTGCGATTCCGATACGTATTGTCGCATCGCCAAGTGAATGTTGTTCAGAAATCTTGCACCGACGTCGGTCCCGGTGGAGCTGCCGAAATCGGTTTTGCAATAATCGTAAAACTTCGACTGTCCCCTGAGGAACGTGTTCGCCGAGTCGTTGGTGATTTTAATATTTTCCGCTTTCGAGTTCCATATCGTATCTCTCGTATGCGACTTGAGCAGGACCCCTACAAACAAAAATGTATCCAGAAATTTGGCACATGGGTGCCAACGTTTCGCCTCCCCCTCCCAACAAAAATTATTTATCTTTTTCCAGTAACCACCCGTAGGCCGTATAACAGCCTTTATGTTATCGTTATCTTTTTAAGTGCTTTCTAACTTATTTGTTACATTTTTGTTTTTAATGTATTCACTTTTTGTATTCTCTGGTGGAACCAGTTCCCGTTGATTATTTAATCAAAAATTTCCATTAAACAATTTTTAAGTGTTAGAAAAAGAAAACACAGATTAAATTTTAAACATTATGTTATCTTTATAAATCGGTCACAAATTTAAAATAGATTTATTTATTATTATTACAAAAAAAATATTTACAATTTACATATTTTTTTACGAGTTTTAAAGGAACTATACTCATTGATTATGTCATCATACTGTACACTTTTTGTGATGTCTGGTTCAATATTTAATATAGCCATTTAGTCGCGTTAATCGGTCATTCTCGATCGCAAGTATCTTATTTACGTTTTAAAGAATAGGTTTTTCGTTGAAAACTTTTGTTCCCCCTCCCATGAATATTTCCAATATTAGAATATTATCTTAGATAAAAAAAAAAAATTAACCAATTTATATTATTGTTCATCAACATGAAATGGGCTGTGTAAAAATCTGATACCGGCCGGGGCGATCGCCCCCTCTAACCCACTCTCTAAATACGTCACTGCCTACAAATAAATATTTCCGAAACACCGCGGTTCATTGTTAGCGTTGAACACAAAACTCGTATTGTTCTTACTGATATCGCGGTACGACTCGAAAAAATAATCCACGAAGGCTTGCGTCTCGGCGAGTAATTGCGACCAACGTTTGGATAGTTCCGCGATGTCATCTTTTCCGAACGTTTCTTCGACGTGACGCAAATCCGTGTGCAGACTGTCAATCATTTTTTCCAAGTTTAAAATTTCTTGGTTCACGGTAACTTTCATAATCCGGTTGATTGCATAATATTTTCGTATCAATATTTTTTTATCCAATTCGATCTCCACCCTGTAATTGTATCAGTTGATGTTAAACAAAACGGTTTACTAAAGTATCACTGTTTAGTGATTTTATTCTATAGTATAGAACTATCGTACGAATTTATCAATTTGGAAAGCGACTCTTTCGTTTTGCTCAGTGATCCGTAATCTATTCGTTTTAATAAATTCATGGTTTCAGTTTGTTGCTCCGACATTGTGCGCGTCAGATCGTTCAAAGCATCGACAATAACTTTAGCTTCTTCGTGCCCATGATTCCCGCCCTCCGGAAACAATCTGAAAATAAGTCCTTGTATTAAAGGAAACTATGATCGTTTTCTTCGTATTGTTTACTTGATAGACTTTATTAATTCCGATGTTGAACTTCTGATCGCTTCGTACTCCCACTCCACGGTATTGTAATGCGATTTATACTGATCGTTCAACTCGTTAGCCACCGAATCTACTAGGGCTCTGAGCGCGTTAGTTTTTTCGGACAGTTCCAACATTGGCAATTGTTCGATGTTTGACTGTACTAGTTCAACGTTTTTCGATATCAAATCTCTTTGCCGATCAAATCCCTCCAACAATTCGTTTGTTTTACGTTGTAAATGCTCGCTCATTTCTTGTGTAACCTGTATCGTCGTAACGTTTTATTAGATCAGATTCGTTATGGCATATTTTCCGAATTACTTTTATATGACGCTCAAGAATATTTTGATGATCTTCGATTTCGTCAGTTCTTCTTTTCGCAATCCCGTCGTTCATTATTACAGTACGCTGTTCGAGCCATTTTGCTGCGTCAGCATACCGTTCCTCGACGCCATTCGTCAAGAATGTAGTCCATGCGCATTCATTACTTAGCAGATCTGAGGTTATCAATTCCTCAATTAATTTCAACAGACGTTCATTAAAACTAAAAAAAAATAAAATTAAGACTAAAGTAATTTCGAAAACGTTTAAAACGAATGTTTGAGTACTAACGTTTTCTGGCAACTGTCGACTGCAGCTTTAAAGGGTATTATCGACGTTTCGATGGATTTCTTCCAGAATTTCGACTCAGATAAATAGTTAAACTCAGGAACCGATTTTATGATTTTCGGTAAAGAATTTAAAAGATCTTGAATATCCGCGCTAATTGTAGCGAATTCAGATGTCACTAAATCATTATACCCTGATATGGTATACATTTCACTCTCTCGATTTATTTGTATTCTTTCAACGAATACATAGTTTATTAAAGAAATATATTATATATTACCAAAAATTAAATATATGGAATTTTACCTGTTTTCAATGTTTATCAGTTCATCGTTACATTTTTTTTCAAACATTAGAACTTCGGTTTCGGTCGACGCTTGCACAAGAGAATCGAACGCGACGTTAAAACTGTCAACAAAAATCTACAAAAACTACGATAGAAACTTTGTTTCGGTAATAATAATTTATCAACAGTATTACGTTTAATTCCGTGTCATTGAATCTTAAATTCGTCTCGAGAGCTACTAAGACAATGTTCCTCGCTTCCGTTAAACGCTTCGAGTGACCGTCGATTATATCTATCGAGACGCGGAGTAGTTCGTAAATTACTTGTATAGCGACTTTAACGTCACTCAATAATAACCGGACGTCCATGATTGTTTCCGTTATATCCTGCAGTAAGCCGTCCGCTTCGTTTAACATTTCTTCGCCGATCGCAGTAATTTCGTCCGGGCTAAGAGATTCACCGGAATCCTTCATAATCCTGTCGAGCTCTTCTAAAGTTTTCATCGAGAGCGATTGAATATCTTCAGGCGCTTTGTCGACCAACGGTAACAGCACACTGTCAACGGTATTATCTGAAATGTTTCATATTGATTTTATATGTTATTCGATATTAATCTTTCCAATGCGTCGACGCTTTTACCGATGTTTCTCGAATACGTTTTCAACGATTCGGAGCCCTCAATTATGGTGGCGAAATTTAATTGTTTTTTCACTTGATATGTTAAGTTATCAATTAGTTTGTTCGATTCGTTCACAATATCAATCGACTTGGTTTGAAAAACGAAAATGTTGTCCGATATTATCGTTTCAGCGGCAGTTCTATGTAAGAACACGTTAATACACGCATGTATATGTATGACGATGGTTGGAAACGAACCGATTTCTCACCTGAACTTATCCCTGAAAATCTTTGTGATGTTAGCTTTTATATTCAACTTGACTTCATACGCTCTAAGCAAAAAATCCTGTCGAAGATTTTCGCTCAACAGAACTAATTTAAACCGGAGATCTTCGTACGTCCGGAAGTTTCCCAATTTGATAATGTTATAGTTCTTGCAAAGGATGAGAACAATTATCACTCGAACAACAGTTTAACAAGACGAGACGTAATATAAATCGCGGATTTACTTTCAAATATTTTTCGAAAAGCCATTCGAACGATTCACCCGAAAGCTCTGACATGTACTGCTTGTAACACGTCTCGATTAACGCAGTTCTTTTTTTTTCCAATTCTCGAGTTACGTTTGTGAAGTCGTTGATTTTTTGATTGCGTTTGTTTATCAAATCTTCTACGTCACCGAAAGATTTGCGTAGGAAATCGAATTGCATGAAATCCCCCTAAAACGTGAAAACACAAAATTAACGTTTTTAACGTTTTTCTGTACGCCATAATTTTATGACAATAAAAAAATTATTTTCGCAATAACCGAGTTTAAATTTTCGAGTATACTGGATAACGAGTTATCTATGGTAATCAAAAACTCGTCCAGTTTTTGAGAAGCATTCTGTATTTGACATCCGATTTCATCGTTTATCGATATAAAGATGTTTTCCACGATTTCGACTTTTCGATTGACCTGTTCCTTGAGTCTTTCCATTGCTCTGCTAACGGTATGACTGATGTCGTAGTTCGGCTCTACACCACGGACATTATTTAGATATTATTTTTTTTTTTCGTTGATAAAAATCATTAAGCGCAACAGTTTAATACACGAATAGCTATGCTCAGAAAAACTACGTTTTTACGCAGTATAACATGATTCGTATTGACGCGATAGTGTTATTAAAAAATTTATACCATACCGATTCGCGTTTGCAAGCTTTGTATAAGTAAAATCTCCTCGTTCCGGTCCGATTGATTTTGCGCACATATTTTTTCAACTGCATCTTGGTTGCTTGGTTTTATCAAGGGTTGGTTAAAATTGAACTGTGAAAAACAATATATACATTGATATTATGGAAACACAATGCTACAACTATCCCGGATTAATACTTAGTCTAATGTAGATCATTATCATTGTACAACGGAATAAATTAATGGCTATGTTAATTCACACTCACACGTAATATGTTAAACTTAAATAATTTTTTTTTTTTTTTTATTATTTTAAGTGTATATCAAAAGCGATAAAAACCGATTAGATTATTGCCTAGCAATGAAAAATATAGTGTTTACATTTTTTCCATGGCCATGATCAAGGATTTAAAGTATATATTATTATATTATAATTATTATTATTATTATTATTATTTAAACTATATATTAATGTTACAAATATTTTATAAGTATAAAAGTTCTAAAATAGAAAAAAATTAATTTTAAATAAGTGTATTGATGGTCTACAAAAATTCAACTGAACTAACTTTACTTGTGCAATACTCTATACCAGTGGTGGGAAACTCAATGTTACTAGAGAGTCAATTTTCAGAAAATTATAATCCAGCGGGTCAAAGCATAGGAGAAAACAAAAAAAGGTCATTCAAAATATGAATATTAATTAGAATTTATGTACGCCGAAATAATAATTCAACACACATGACAGCACGACACGAATGATACGAAGAAACTGGTATATAGTTAAATAGTTCGATACAAACATAAACCTTATACTAGACACTAGTAGACGGAGCATCACTGGTTGGCGGAATTGAACGCCGTGTGGTCACGACTATTCTCATATCAGTGTTATCATTTTTGACGACATAAAATATGTTTATTCTCATATTTATACAGTATATTATTATTAAAACATTTAAAAATCAATTTGCCCAATAAATAATCCCGTAAACTTAGTCCACAAAAAAAAAAAAAATAATAATCCTTTAATAAAAATGATTGAATTTCTACCTAATTATAAATGTATAATATAATGATATAATGATATTATTTGTATATGCATTCTTATCATACAATAATTTTTAAAACGCAACAAACGATCGCCGACCTGAAATTCTATTACGCATGTCCGTGGTAATTGAGTAATAGTAGAACAGTGCACTCACGTCCGACCGCTGGTACTATACCCATGCTCCGTCTATTAGTATAAGGTCTATGGTTACAAACAGCTATGTTTGAAAGCTATACGTACACATACATTTGGCATTTAGACATTTAAAAATGTTTAATACCAGACAGCAATTATTATATCAATAAGCTAAACTCTATGCTGTTAGAGCATAGACGCTAAATTTTGAAATTATATGATGTAATTTGAAAATATAGCACGGGCCAGATAAAAAAAGCTCACGGGCCGCCAGTTGCCCATCCCTGCTCTATAAAATTATGTAATTTACAACGGAGAGGTTATACAATTGTTGACATGCTGACCGAATGCATTATGAGCTGTTAATTATATGTACAAAAGAGTGCAATGACGATTCGAAAATGTTCTTGAAACACACAAGGGAAGTAGGCCTACTACACCGCTGTTTAATTTCCACCCCAAACCGCAATCGCAGGAATCGAAAAAATACTAAGCGTTTACCTGATTGTCAGAAGCATGGAATGTCATCGAATCTGACGAGTACTGATTCATAAACAATACTCTAGTTGACGAAAAGTTTGCCATTTCGTATTAGTCTTGTTTTGATTTAACTCTTTACTAACGAATTTTGACGAACGATATTCAATAGAACTTTTATTCAAAATACGCTTCATAACATAAAATTGTAAATACGCAGCCCTGGCAATTCTCATTGTTTTCGGGAAATGGATTGTTTTCCTAGTCGTTACGACAACGATTCGCCAGTTGCGAGATGATGCATGTTTATAAATATTATCGTTATAATTATTATTATTAATGCTATTAAAGGGTTTGGAAGAATCCGAATTTTCGCGATAATCAGTGGCCGCGTTTACACGCGTATTACATGATGTATATACATATATATATATATATATATATATATATGTATGTGTATCTGTGTGTGTAAGATAAATATTTACGATCGTGCCACTTATTAACGTTGACAGCCGTATATAAACTTAGTGTAGCCAATGGACGTTTATTTATCGTTGCCATTTGTGGCAATAGCGAGAGGAGCCGAGATAAAAGTCGGACTTACCGGTGGGGACGAAAAAAAATACCCCCAGCTTGTTTCTAAAGCACAGGCCATAAAAACGGACGTTTCGGCAAAATGTGCTTCAACGTTTTGAAGGATATGATTTTGCGCGATAGCACCTAGAATTTCGACCTCAACCGGCATTAATTAGGTAAATGGATGATATATATATATATATAAATATTGGTATATATACCGCGGTTACAGTATGCCGACGGTGTAATATTATAATAATGGTTGGGAATAAATAATGATAATAACGAAAGAAAAAAAATGTACAGGATTTACGTAGTGAACACGCGTTAAAGAAAGCTCGTTAAATATATTTATTTATTTTTATTTTAAATTTACCTCTGATGTTTAAAAACTCCGGCCGGTGTCGAGCTATTATAATACACAATTTTGTGTATGTATACATCACAATAAGGTTTACTGTTTAAATATGTATACGTTTGATTTTCGTTTATAAATTATTTGTTTACGCATTCGTATTTTTTGAATATTTACGTAATATAATGTTGTTTTCATCATTATTTTATTATCTATTCATGACCACAATGTCTAGATGCTATATATCAATACGCTTTCAACATGTTGTACCGACACAATAAAATTACAATAAATTTGCTTCGAGTACTCCGAATCCCTCATCGTCTGCATCGATAAGTCCGAGTTGTGGAGAATAATTATAACGTATTTGTCGACGACCAGGAAACGATCGGTGATCTCATTTGTCGAACCTTGTAAAATAATAATATTCTGAACTAATTAACCATCGGTAGAAGGACGCGGCTCTCGCGAGGTGATCGATTCCGTCAAGGTTAACACGCGGAGTCTTATTTTTAGGGTTGTGCCACGCCTAGTACGGTTTGCACGTATTTTATTTTTCGATTCACATAGAAAAAAAAATGACATCTGTATAATCATATGGATTTACGGGGATAAGAAAAAAATGATATTATTTTACTCGGTATGCGCGCTCATACTCATGAATGATTGCGCTTGGTTAATAATTCGCATAACATAACATTATACGAGACGGCAGGTTACTTGTACTTATATATTATGTATTACGTGTACAATAATTGCAAGTCTATAAATAGTCGTTTTTTTATAAAGCACACAGTAAACTCTTTAATATTACCACTCGTTTTATCGGTTGACGTATGTGCTACTGAAGAAATTATTGTTTTCATAAAATCGGTTTTCGATTATACATTACGTACTCTCAAAACGATTGCGATTTTATATTTATTCTATAATGATTTTTGAGATTTTTTTTTTAAAAGTTTTTTTTTTTTAAACACGTTATTATATTTTTAACTTAATATTATGAAGCCAAGACATTTCTATGAACATTTGAACGAAACGCGATAGTAAAGGTTAAGTTATTAAAAAAGTTAATAAAAAGACCAGTGGTCTTTAACCTTTTTGACTCGCGACCCACTTATCTTATCATACATTTTTTGCGAATCAAAAACCGAAAAAAGTTTAAATTCCCTAAATGTATGCCATAATAGAAGTTCTTTCACAACTGAATAGATTAAAATTCATAATTTTCTAGGTATCTAGATAAAATTTAATTTTTATTATAAGTAATGATATAAAAAAAGGTATATGTAATCACGCAAAAAAAAAAAAATAAATAAATAAATAAAAAATAGTGCAATATTTGTTACTAATTGTTTAAGCACAAAATACTTCCACCGCGGCTCAATTTCACGCAATGCAGTTCATAGATGAATTACATGCAAATGAGTTTTATGGATTAATTCGGGCTATCGCTATACTATTACCTAATTTGATTGTTCATTCTTCTATTTTTATTTGACAGTTAAAACTTTAACATCAAAGATTATTAATCGTTAGATGTCAAACAATATATGTGTGAGGTGTTAGATTTAAAATTAAAATATTACATACTACATACTATTGAAGTAAAATTTGGTTTAAAATTAAGATTTACTAATAATATTTCTCATACTTAAAAATATGTTAATGTTCAGAGTTTGGAGTCCATCAAGTGCTTCTGCTATGTTGGATGATAGGTTCAGGTCGGCACGTATTTAGGTATATTGTGTACAGTCTTTCACTATGTGTTCGATAACAAATGCTTTGTGGCATGTGTCGCATATTGATTGAGATTCTTTTCTAATTAAGTATCTTATCTTATACAAATATAAAATAGTACGGTTGCGGGTTTATTCAAAAAAATGGTTTTATCCGATAGCATATGACATACGTAATATAATATATAAGTACATTATAGTATTAGGTATATGAATATGAATTTTTTAAACAGAGGCTTATCGCGACCCAAAATTCGGTCTAGACTAATAGTGCACAACCTGGAGGTCGACAATAACTTAACACCAAACGCAATGTTATACAATATGTATATTATTTTATATAACTTAATATTCTTATTTTATATTTTATAAAAATATAATTTTTTTTTTTTTTTTTTTTATGCATTGAATTAATTAAATCAAAGAAATATTGCTCAAAGTTAACGATTTAATTTATGTGAATAAAATGTTTGTGTACATTAAGTAAGCATACATTTACACAATGTCGGGTAGGAAGGGGGTCCGGGTCGCCTCATCGAAATAAATTAATTTGAGGGTCGTGGATCAAAAAAGGTTGCGCACCGCTGGTCCAGACGAACGGAGTAGGCCATACGTTATTCGGAACAACCAAACAACCGTATCGTCAAAACCGCCGCGCGCGTACACCTTTTTGTTTCGTTTTTTTTTTTTTTTTTTTTCTGTTCAATACTCTTGGAAAAAGTTTATCAGGACCTTGGTCGTTGTGATGACGCCGGAGGC